ATTTTGTCTTTTGGGTGTACTAGTCTGTTTCTAACTGTTGTGTATGGCTTTGTTGGTGTGTTTATGTTGTGTTTTTTCATTGTTGCTCTTATTTTTTCCGTTATGCCTCTGATGTATGGTAGGGTGACGCGCCACCATCAGCGTCAGCCTGAAGAAGCCGGCAGCCGTCGGCGAAACTGTAGCGTCAATAACAGGTAACAAAACCGTTTCTGTGTTTTAAAAAAGAATGACAACATGGAATTAGAAATAACGCACAGCAAGAACACACCTAAGATACTTGACATTGTGACTTTAGAAGAACTCGGTTTAACTTAAAGAGCAAGCGACCCCCAAATCAACTTTCTTTCCTGATAAACTATACAAATGTGTGTCTAATCGTGCTGCAGACACGTGTAGTCAATAGTTTTGTACTTTAGTGCATTTTAGTTAAAATTTAAATTTTCTGCCTAAAACTGTCAGTGTTGCACGTTGTCAGGTAAAATCTCTGCACTGCATTTGAATTTACGTAAATCTGCCATCGCTATTGGTACGAGGTACCATAGAACGTTAGCTGGTACCATATGATGTCACAATGTTGTTGTGAGCCTGTGTGTGTGTGTGTGTGTGTGTGTGTGTGTGTGTGTGTGTGTGTGTGTGTGTGTGTGTGTGTGCGTGTGCACATTTGTTAGCGGCTCAGCCCTCTCGGTCTGCTAGGCAACAGCATTTGTTGCATTTTTCAAACAGGACGTGGGAATGGAGTAATACTCTGGTAGGGGGTGACTTTCTCTTTAACTTAATATTGCAAATTCCATAAAAACCTCACTGTAACACTTAATAAGGGTCCCTTTATTAACATTACTAGTACATTATTAAGCATTAATTACAAAGAATCCCTTTATTAATATTCCCAATATTTTTTACTAATTTTGAATGTCTTTAAGGTTGGGACAAAGGGACCGGGATGGGTGTGTGTGTCTGCTTAGTAATGCATTACTTGATATTAACATTAATATTAATCAGTTGTTAATACTTTAATAGTTTATTATTGTTTAATAATGCACTAAGTACATTAATAAAAGGACCCTTATTGTAAAGTGGTACCAACCTCACAATTAACAATTGCAGGATGTTGTAAAAGCGAAAAACTAAATGGCCAGACATAACAGTTAAATGATATCACATTTTTGAAAGCTAAAACCAATATTTAAAACATATTGAAAATTTTATAATGAAACTTAATAGAATGAAAATTTACCAGCCTAAGTCAGGCTTGCAGGAGCGGTGCAGGTTGAAATGGTAAAAATTTGTACTTTATATCCAATTGGACCCTTAAAGGAGCACTTATGGCCTTTTAAAGACCAATATTGTACTTTTGAGGGAAAATTTTAACCCTCTCAGGCTCAAAATAAGTTTTAATAAAAGGACGAATAATGTTTATGTTTATGTATTTAGCAGATGCTTTTGTCCAAAGCGACTTACAAGTGATAATTGGCATGTTGCCCTTGAAGCTAACGACAACAATAACAACAACAACTTGACATAAATCATGGAGAGGAGGGAACAAGGAGTGGACAGTAGAGAGGGTGATGGGTGCAGGGAAGGTGCTAGTTAAGAAGATGCTCTCTGAAGAGCAGGGTCTTCAGGAGTTTCTTGAAAATTGAAAAGGATGCCGCCGTTCTGGTAGTGCTTGGAAGGTCATTCCACATTTGTGGAACGATGCATGAGAAGAGTCTGGATTGTCCTGAGCGTGGTGTAGGCACTGCTAGCCGACGATCCTGTGATGACCGGAGCAGCCGAGCCGAGATGTAAGCCTTTGCAAGAGGATTCAGGTAGATTGGAGCTGTACCATCTCGGACTTTGTATGCTAGTGTTAGCAATTTGAATTTGATGCGTGCTGCTAGCGGTAGCCAGTGGAGCTCAATGAACAGAGGGGTGATGTGTGCTCTTTTTGGCTGATTGTAGACCAGACGCGCCGCTGCGTTCTGGACCATTGGAAGAGGTCTCACAGTACAGGCTGGAAGACCAGTTAGAAGGGCATTGCAGTAATCGAGGCGGGAGATGACAGTAGATTGCACCAGGAGCTGGGTGGCATGTTGTGTTAGGTATGGTCTGATCTTTCGTATGTTATACAGCGCAAAGTGGCATGAACGAGCAACAGAGGCAACATGATCTTTAAAGCTCAGGTGTTCACCAATCACAACACCCAGATTTCGAACTGCCTTTGAACAACTAAGTCCTTCAGGGGTACTTCTGAGTAAAAAAATGCTCATGAAATAGGTATGCGGAGTAACCAGGTAGGTAGGTTTTAACGTTGCAAATCTGCAGCGCCTGGGGTTGAAAAAATGTACCTTCAGGTACAAAAATGTTCTTCTCTCGTATCTCTATTTCTGAGAGTGTATTATTTTCCTAGAGCTCCTTAAGAGCCACTAGAGCTCACATATTCAGATACACAGTGGTGGTCTTTCCGAGGAGAGCAGACGGGGTTCTAATTTAGTTATATTTACATGTAACAGCAACCTAAACAACTACCCAGAACTCCATAGGAGGCCATCTAACACAAACCACCAACTTCTGATTGTTGTTATTTATTCTAATCGCTTTTAGCTTCAAGTCTCTCTGCAATCTAGCAAACTTAAATAATGTCACATAAAGTTGTATAAACCTTTCAGACATGTGTACTGTATGACAGCTCTATTTGTTTTGTACAGAAATAAAGATTATTTTCTCAAAAAGTCAAGTTTTATTTCAATCCATCACGATTTTGAAGTTTTTATCAGTATTTTTTTTTAGGAAACATAGTTATATGGTCAATACAAAGTCATTTGCACAAAATCCCTCTCACATAAATTTTATTCAGCTGTTTTATTCCTGACATTTTCAGTACTTTCCAGAATGAGTCATTCCAAGGCTCTGTCACTTTAAGAAAACAAGCTAGAACTGGCCACGTCCACCCCGCCTGACTGGCTGCTTTGAGGTGAGGCGGTCAAAGTAGAGAATTCACAATAAGGGCCTTCTTGAAATGGCTCGTTTTGGCCAAATGATTCTTAAAACTAAAAACTGACAGAAAATTGATGGACGGATTTATTCATGTTTGAGTGTTTATAGAGCTCCGGACGTCACGTGACTCTCAGAGAGTAGACGCCATGTTGGCAGGCAACAAATGTAAACAAACTGAACGGGATCGGCTTGGATTTTACTTCGTCGGAGTTTACTTCACACTTTAAAACCGAAGAAATCATTTTATGTAGTCAGAAATTAAATAGATTAAGCATCTCTGACCCTTACCGTGCCCCTGGGATAGTTTTTTAAAACGCCAGAAGCTGTCGGAGCGGACTTCTTACTGGACCTGGCCGGGGAACCCCTTGGGATTCCCCCGGAGGAGCTGGCCCAAGTGGCTGGGGAGAGGGAAGTCTGGGCCTCTCGACGCTACTGCCCCCGCAACCCGACTCCGGATAAGCGGATGAAAATGGATGGATGGACAAATATAGATTTAAGATGTAAGTAGTTTAAATAGAGTGCTGTGCTGTTTGAATGTATAAACTGAACGCCAAGAGAAATCACTAGTCTGATTTTTTTCCGTGAATAAAATAAATATGTCAGGCAGGAGCGTCTCAGGATCTGTCTGAGATCTGTCTCGGTGAGACAGATAATAGCAATCCAAAGTGCTTTTTATGTGTGATCTGACAATTAATCAACCATTGCTTAAAAATGAAATACAGCTTAGCCGGTTAACTGCTGTGATCATAAAACACGTAAACGGCAGCACGCAGAACTCACGAGGCAACGTTTTACATGATGTTTACTTGTTGCTGTGAGTAATAAGACAGAAAAAGCCACGCCAAGATAAGTTTAGGAAGCCCACTAAGAATCGTAATAAAAGCATTTAAAATAAATACCATACACAGTTGAGGAAACGTTGGTTTAAGTACCTGATATGAAGCGGTCGCTGCATAAGGAAAACCTTTACTCTCGGGATCCCACAGTTTCATTTTAGCCCGGTCACTAGCGCATTTTATTACAATGATCCAACGTTTGTGGTGTTCCGGATCTTGCGGAATCCTGTAGATGGGTCATTCCTTATGTCGTCCGCGTCTGTTCTGGCATCCTGGGGCACAACAGGAATCTACCATATTTCCCGTTTGATTGAGTTTTCTGACAATAACAAATAGTCCAGCTGCGGGCTTCTGCCTGCCAAGATGGCGCCGTTTCGATTTGAACTGTTGCATGCCGGGAGAAGTGACGTCAACTCCCGGAGCTCTATAGGCAGTAGAGAACCACATGGCAGCACAAAAGAGTGCAAAAGGTGAGTTTTGCTAAATATGTACTATCTTCATTAGAACCTGCCTGACTACATTAAGGGGGGTAAAAGATGTCAAAAAGCATAACATCAAGCCAACCCTCTAAAGAAATACAAAAACAAAAAAAAAACATCATCCAGGGCTGCTAACTCTCATGCATTGAGCGTTAGACACACACATTTAATCCTATTCACACACTCCCACGGCAAACCTCCAATATCTCACACTGATTAACACACACACACACACACACACACACACACACACACACACACACACACACACACACACACACACACACACACACACACACACACACACGCACACACACACACACACACACACACACAAACACACCACTCTGCCAGGCAGGGAACAGGGTGAAACGGTTCGCCCTATGAAGGCGTTGTCTTATTCTCGTTTTTCTCTGCCCACAGCTGGCACTTGTCTGGTGCCTCGGCCGTTTCCTCTGTCACCTCCGAGCTCCTCTGTGTGTTTATGTGCTGCTGCTTCTGCTGGGTTAAACAGGCAGCCTGTTGATTAGTCTAAGCGCCGCTGCTACCTACTGACTGGGGTGGTTTAGCGTATCATGATAATGGATTCTCCTGCATTTAGCGCTCCCCCTGGGGGGTCTGGCTCTAAAGACTCAACAATAAGAGGGAACACAGTCACAAAGGGATGAATGAAAGTTTGCCATTTGTGTGTAAAATACGATTTATCCACCTTAAACTTCTGCTTGCGGTTATTCAGCTGTATATACAGACGATGAGGTCCATTCCAGTTTCCATAGACGATGTCCGTCCTTCCATCCCGGTTGAAGTCTGCCAGAGCAACGCCTCTGCCGTGCTGCATAGGGTCCTCCACACCTCGAATGACATTTTCATGTGACCTGACGCGAACTAAACTCTGCACGTCAAGTTTGCAGTTGCCCTTACCAGCCTGCTGCGCCACATCAATAAAAGTCCCATCGCCGTTGTTCCTGAACAGGAAGTTAGATCCATATTCGTTGTCACAGAAGATGTCTGACAGAGCCTGACTAACAATGGGCCCCACCACCACGCCTCTTCCTCCTGTACAGATGAAGATGATGAGCAAAGTCTTAAGAAAGAAAGTAAAGCAGCTAAATAGAAGAAAGGAACATACAATTGGGAACAAAAGTAGAGATCAGCTCTATAACACAAGGGATCATTATTGTGTTTCCAGACCATTTGCTGAGAGCAGGGTGAGCCTTCTGCTGACACGGACATTGACTGTGATTGGCCACACACACACACACACACACACACACACACACACACACACACACACACACACACAGGTAAACATACCAACACTACCGCAGCATTACGACACATGCTGAGGATGTTTTGCATGAACCACCTTCCTTCCTTACAAATTGATCGCCGTGACTGTTCAGTTCACTCTCAATATCACCCCATGATTTTCCAATGACTTTCTATTAAGTGAAGTATCCCAGTGAAGTGTTTCATCGCAGACCAGCAGTTTAATTACGTAGCTGAGAGGGCCTGAATTGCCCTTCTTGTATGCCGAGTCAGAGCCATGAGCCAGGACTCGCTCCTGATTTACTGGCTCGCTTCATCAGCCCAGACAAATATCACTTGCCCCCCACAGCCATAAACCTCTAATGTCCCTCCAGAGATATGTAACCATCAGATATACAACTTCTCCGGCTGTCCATCTGCACTGATTAACGGCAGGGTGACGACAAAGCCATCAGCGTACATTATTTATAGTAATTCGGAGCCAGCTCACTTTGCCCCCCTGGTGGATCAGATGATGTCCTTCATGTAAAAAAGATCCAAAGATGATGAAGATTCATTCTGCTGCACTCAAACACAAAGTCATGGCCCATTTTGGAAACTTACTGGAACGCCAGCATCAAGGACTTTGCGGCGGTTACGATAAAGTATCATTAATCCAGGATGGTCTCGATTACGGAGAGACAAATCACACTTAAGTTGTGCATTTTTGACATTTACTGTTCTGTCCCTCTAATTACGTCATACAGTTCAGCTGATGCAAACCATAGAGATGAGCCATTCTGTAGTATTATTAATAAATAAACACATTTTATGATTTTTTATTGATCATAAGAATAAATAAAACTTTTAAAAAAAGTCATTCAGTTTGCATGTTCTCTCCTCAAGGTTTCCCCATCCTCCTTTTCCTTTTTTAAATGTATTTTCACCTGAAACTTCTGCAATTTTCTTCTAGTTTTACTCCAACTTGCACATTTGTACTGTCACATTTCTGTCAGACCTTACATCCTCTTCAGTAGAAGTCAGTATGGATCATACCCACCTATTAACTTGTTGACTCCAGCTTGCTCTGCCACGTTGGAGAGGGCAACAACACCCTGCGAGAGGTCGCTGGCTGCCTCGTCCATTTCTATGAGAGCGTGAGGCCCCACACTTCCACTGGCATAGTTAGCGATGTAGATCGCGTAACGGCCCGTACCCTGTACAAATAACAATGTGGTTTCCACTGGTTTATACGTGTATGTTTATAAGGGAGAGATGCATGTGTAGTGATGGAATGATTCTTTTTGAGGAGTATTTTCTTCAGAATTAAACATTTATGCAGCAGCCCTTAGCCAAAGAAATTAAATGTTCACACAATTTAAAGCTGCTATCCGGAGTTTTCCCCTTTCAGGAATTTTGCATGGTTTTTCAGAAATCCATAAAAGTGATTGTTTTATCAAGTACTGTGATATAACGTAGAAAATGTGTCTTTTTTTGCTAAGCCTGCCCCCGTCCTGTAGAGCTCCATGCAACATGAACATTGGTCAGCTCTAACCAATAGCGTTAGACTACCGCATACGTACAGACGTCAATCACAGAGTGTGCTCGGACATTTAAGGATGTACCTCGGGTTGATGTAGAGTTTGCGACCTTTCTCGTGGATAAGTAAGTCTTTCAAATATAAATAAATCAAAACACAACATAAGGTGAGCTATATAATTGTAAAACAATGTGTTTTAGCTTTGTTTAGTTGGCTACAGGAGGGCGTTCAAGAACAAGAGGCGTTGCTTTCGGCTGTAAATACGAAAATGAAACAACATCTTGGTGCGATACGCTTGTCAGCCACTAGATGGTGTCATCAGATAAAAAAATGCTCTAGACATCTACTTTAACACTGTGATGCTTTTCCAGACACATTTTAACCCAAAGCACCAATGTTAGAACTCTTTATGAAATAAACCAAACACAATAAAGCAGAAAAGTCGGTCTGTTTGTGTAGATTCTCAGTTGTCCAGGGCATGATAATCTTGAATGTGAAGAAGCTGAGTTGGTGGTGAAATGGGGCGACGGTAGCACAGGAGTTAAGAGCTCGTCCCGTAATCAGAAGGCTGCAGGTTCGAGCCCCGCTCAGTTTGTCATTGTCATTGTGTCCTTGGGCAAGACACTTAACCCCCCCCCCCCTTCCTACTGGTGGTGGTCGGAGGGACCGTGGCGCCAGTGCTTGTCAGCATTGCCTCTGTCAGTGTGCCCCAGCACAGCTGTGGCTACATTGTAGCTCATCACCACCAGGGTGTGGATGTGTGTGTGAATGGGTGAATGACTGATTGTGTTGTAAAGCACCTGGGGGGTTCCAGGACTCCAGAAGGTGATTTATCAAATACAGGCCATTTACCATTTAGAAGTCTTATGAGGTGTGGTCTGGAACAAACATCTATTCAGATCCCTGTTTGTGTCGTTGGTGCTGACAGTCCTTACAGGTTACCAACAAAGCCCACATGTGCACTATTTTGGTCACATATCTCAAAGTGTGAGTTTTGGTTTAACTGTCTGGGGACACAAGTCAAAGCTGCACTGCAGGTCTTGGAAAAAGGAAAACTAAAGCCTGATTTATACTTGTCGATCAGCTGAGTTGTGTAGTCGCACACATGTATTGCCCAAGACATTTTCCCTTCAGACATCTCTGTTGCCCGGGGAGTGTTGCAAAGCATTTTCCCGCCAAAATAACAGAGGGCATAACACTTTTCTGAGGGTATCCTGCTACCATTGCAGTCACATATTTGGTCAACAATAGTGTATTTACTCTGTGTTTATATACAGAACAGAGCAAAAGTTTGGACACACCTTCTCATTCAATGTGTTTTCGTTATTTTCATGACCATGACCATTTACAAAGGGGCCAACAAGTACCAAACAACTCTGGGAACTCCTTCAGGACTCTTGGAAAACCATTTCAGGTGACTACCTTAAAGCTCATCAAGAGAATACCAAGAGTGTGCAAAGCAGTAATCAGAAAGGGTGGCTTTTGAAGAAAATAGAATATAAAACATCTTTTCAGTTATTTCACCTTTTTTGGTTAAGTACATAACTCCACATGTGTTCATTCATAGTTTTGATGCCTTCAGTGAGAATCTACCAATGTAAATGGTCATGAAAATAAAAAAAAACACATTGAATGAGACAGGTGTGTCCAAACTTTTGGCCTGAACTGTATCTCTGAGACATTTTAACACGGACACGTGTCCTTCATTCTCCTCCACATCTTCATGCAGTCACCACCTCTAAACCAATGATTTTAGCTATTTCCGTTCAAGAATAAAAATTTGAAGACGTTGAATGATCTGCTCCATGTCTGCTGCTAGAGATCTTCGAAACTCTTAATTTTCCAAAAGGCCAGTATTGTTAGCAAATTTAAAACACGAGAGAGCCCACATGTGACAATAAAAACATCATGGATCTACCATGTGTTGGCATACTGTGTGTGATGTGCAGTGACATGGATGAACACTACACATAAACTGATTTCACACATGAACACTCCCAGGTCAGTAACACGGGTCATATCTCTAAAAAAGTCTTGGGATAGAAAGTGACTTTGGAGTAAACAAACATGGTGGAGGAGGAGTGTGAAGTGGGCCTCCTCGCTTTCTGACTGGCTACATGTCAACAGTTAGCATGCTCATTTGTCCTTGAAATTGGACAATCCAACTCATTTACTGGGGCGACGGTGGCAGAAGAGTTAAGTGCCTGTCTCGTAATCGGAAGGTTGTTGGTTTAAGCCCAGCTCAGACTGTCACTGCCGTTGTGTCCTTGTGCAACTTAACCCACGTTGCCTAGGTGGCGGATGGAGGCACCAGTGGATCAGGATTGGAGCCATTATTGTAACCAGATGTGACTATCAGAAGAGGATCAGGTCAAAAATCTGCATAATAATCTTGGCTAAGAAAAACTTACAGATGATGTTAGAAACAATGATCACAGAGACAAGCCTGTTTGCTTATAAATCTGCTAATTATTGAAACTAACTAAACACATTAAGTTATTTGTGCAAAAGGTTTTACGCTACAGTGAATTATTTAACAGAGTCCCTGGATTCTTTGGGGCAATTATGACCACTTTTGGTTCTCAAGAACAAACCGAACACAACCGAGATCTATCACCACCGTTATGTTGACTACCAAACATTTGGAACCTTGTGTCTGACAATCTGATGGGTGTTTTTGTTTAAACCGTTTTCTTTTCTCTACATTTGTGATCTGAAAGCAAAAGAAATTTTACGGAAGACCATTAAATCATTTCAGTTTGGAATTCCTCCACGTTATTTTTTAACACTTTAATGCTGTTAGCATTGCTATTATAAAACACACAGCAACAGTAATAAAAACACAAATGATTACCTATTGCATTATCTACAGTGGCTCACGTAGGACTAAAATCAGCCTGATTTTTGCTGAAACATTCTTTCTTTTTTCTCCATGTAAATATTCATCACTTTTTCCAAATCAAACCTTTAATTTTCCCCTTTAGCTCTGATTACCCAGTTCCTTACCCAGTCGTTTTTTTTTTCTCAGCCCTTCTCCCTTGCTCTGCCTTTCTTTCTTTTGAGATTAATTTCACACTCCATTATCAGTCAGAGTCCCTGCAGACACAAACTCACAGACGGAACCACACTAATAGACTGTACACTCGATTTCAATGAGCTTTCCCACCAGGCCTAACATGTTTCCATCAATGCAAACACATGCAAGACCACACAAATGCAAACCACTTCACCACTAGTGTTCTCCTGACTACGCATAAAAAAGGCAAGCGAGTTGGGTTGTGTAAATGTCACGTTAGGACAAGCTATATGATGGTCTCTCTCACTCACACGCACATGCCCAAGAACTTAAATAAAAGACCTGAAGGCCACTGGCCGTTATTTAACTAAGTTAAAAGTCAATGATTTTTCAATAAGCCTTTACCTCAAGCTAATTTCTGTCACCAGGATCACAAGTGCAAGATATACAACATGTCTGCCTGCAAAGTGCGTGTTGGTGCAAGGTCTGAAGACACCACTTCCATCTGCTTGCATCAATAAACCACCACCCTGCTATTAGATACACCTTTACCACAATTCATCAAGTAACGGTGTGTATTTTCCCTGGCGATACGGGGCAGTATATACTTAAATCATCGCAAGCAAGCTGCATTTTTGTGCTTGACTAAGGCCTTACCAATGGATGGACATTAGGGTCAAAAATCCCAGGGAGTGCGGTTTTTGAACGAGTACTTTGTCAGATCGTTCAACCTCCAGCAACAAGCAAAGAGATAAATGTGTAAAACAACAAATTTTATGAATGGCGAAAGTTTTGTAACTGCTTGTGACAAAAGAGTAAATGTCCTCACGGGCTCCCGTAGAATATAGCGTTGCCCAGAGACTTAGACCTGCTACCTGATTTTTATGGTTTTATGTTACGAAGCCGCCTATATTTTTCAACAACTGGGCGTCCTTTAATTCATTTTCAACAGCATTTCGATGGACATTTCCAGAGATCAATGGTAAAAACTACACAGCGTTAATTCTAGTATGTAGTTAAACACGCTACAACATTGTCACTTTAAATTATATATTATAAAATGTGACAGAAGTTGCTCAGGAGGTAGAGCGGGTTGATGCAGGTGGTCACCAGTGTTCTGCAGGCCTCGCCTTTGTCAGTGCGCCCCAGGGCAGCTGTGGCTACAACGTAGCTCATCCCCACCATCGTGCGAATGGGTGAATGACTGTGTGGTGAAGCGCCTTGGGGGGTTGTAGAACTCTTAGAAGGTGCTATACAAATACAGGTTATTTACCATGTTTCTGTTATTTCAGCTTTAAATTAACACTAAACAGTTTTTAACACTTTAATGTTTTTGTTTAAAAGTTTTTAGCTTTTCTGTTGGTATCATGGTGGAGTCTGACGGTAAAAGTACAAAAGTAATGTCTTTGGAGGCGATGCAAGAAACCGGAGTGAACATTGGCGCAGTCTAAACTAGTTTGAGGAACCTAAAAGAGGCTACAAAATCACAGACTGATAGTGACCTGGCTTTGTAGCTATTGGACTTGTAAGTATTTTTTTTTTTGCCCAACAGTGTGGATCTTTTTACTTTGTGGTTTATTTTAGTGTTAGTTGGCTCATGTTGGTGTTAGGTCATTGTTAGCGCTAGCTACAACTGGCTGCTGCAGTAGGGTGTTTTTTTTAAAAGACAGTTGTAATTCTGCCTTCAACCAGTAAGCGGGAGAAGCTAGAAACAGTTTTATGTTACTTCAAAAATCTACGTTTTCTCTCCTGGCTGACTGCTCAAAGCAAACTGATCCATCAGTTCAACTCCTCAATACGTCACCCCCGTCAGTTTGTTTTGGAGTAATAATGGAATGCCAGTTCCAAAGAGACAGGGAGAGAGAGAATGGCCGGATGACAAATGCACCTCTTTATACTGAAAGATAACATTTAATTTATGAGTAAACAAGACCAAACACATTAACTACCCGGCTGAATCCAGCAGCATCCCTTGGCTTTGGTCTTTGCAACCTTCTGCTGTTGTTCCATAATGCGTTGCAATAAAACATGCTCAGCAACGGGAACGGTCGATCTGCTTGAAGTGGCATGCAAGAATACACATCAGGGCTTTGGTTTCTTCTAAAAGAAGTGTGCCATTAAAAGCAGATATCTCTCCAATCTGTTTGGCACCTGCACATCCTATCAGTGCTCACTGAGATGGGACTTAAAAAAAATCTATTGTAATCCCTGCTGTCCTCTTTCCACTATTACTGTCTTTATCCCATCGCCTGATTAGAAGAGACAACAGTATGTGTGTGTGAAAGATAAGAGACAAAAGAGAGTGTCTGTCACTCGGTCCGGAGGAAAAAAAAAGGGGGAAGCAAAGAAGATGAGAAAAAAATCAACAGGATAAGAACAAAAGGAACAGAGAGGAAGCGAGAAAACGCTACAATCAGAAAGCAGCGGCTTGGAGTCATCACTCCCCCCTCGTACGGCGTTCTGTAAAACAAACGAGCCTTTGCTTCTGTAATTACACTGGTGCGATGGACAGAGGAGAGAAAATGGCACACCACTCCCCCAAATGAACTGTCAGAGTACATGCTGAGAAGGGCGGCGTAGGCAGGGCATGAGTTATCGCTGGTAAACAAACAGAAGCACCCGTGCATGTGCATAGAAGACACTGGTAGGAAATGATGTGTGCGCGGTGTAAATCTACAGTTCATACTGTACTCTAAGCTGTGTGTGTGTGTGTGTGTGTGTGTGTGTGTGTGTGTGTGTGTGTGTGTGTGTGTGTGTGTGTGTGTGTGTGTGTGTGTGTGTGTGTGTGTGTGTGTGTGTGTGTGTGTGTGTGTGTGTGTGTGTGTAGTACCTTCCTGTCCACACAGGCCACTGAGCGCCCCGCCATTGGGTTGGCTACATCTCGGTGTTCGTTAATATCATCGTTAAGCAGATCCTCAAAGCGTCCATTGCGAAACTTAAACAGCTTGTCAGAATACGTTGCCCGACCTTAAAATGGAGAGATCACCAGAGCACAGAGGCATTAAATCACCATAAGAACCATGAGGCACATGAAACAGAACATCCGGCTGTTTGGCTGAAAACCGGGAGATTTAAGGAAAATGACTGAGTGAGTGCTGCGGCGTGTGGTTATCATCTGTCTGATGAAGGCTCTGCTCAGATAAACTTAGTTACTCCTACTCGGTGTTTGTGATCCTGTCCACACGATAGGAAGTCATGTCGTACCAGAGAAAGCATTATTGGTGTTGAGGACATAAATCTCCTCTCGTCCATCCCCGTCTATGTCACACGCTGTCACTCCAATGGCGTTGCCTTGACGATCTCTCAGGGCGTAAAACGGGGAGCCGCGGTCGTCGACAGCGATATTGACGAGCCTTTTCTTCTGTTTGTCGTACTTGAGCACTAGGTTTGGTCCATTGTAGCTGTCAAAAGGGTGGAAGCTAGGTGTTACGTCTAGATCATGAGTTATGACTCATCACACTCTACTCTGGACACTATCAGGCACATAGTAACAATAAAAATCAAAGACAACTAAATATAAAATAAAAAAAGGAATAAAAGAGTAAAAAGTTAAGTAGAACAGTTAAACAAAAAGCAACAGGGAGCTCATATTAAAACAGTTAAAAAAACATACAGGCAACAACGCCGGTGGGTCCAAAGACTGGAAAAGAAGCAAATTGAACTACGCTTGTTTTTGGACAGAATAGAAACAATTAAGTTGTCAGAGGCCATCAGACGGCACATCCATCTGTACGTTGGATCGCAAAGCATGGCAGCACAAGTAGGAATACCTGCATGCAAAAACAACTGGCTGGCACTGGTCCATCTAGCAACCTCAGGCCATCACTAAATGCCACCTGGAGTTTGTACTTGCTACTACTTCTGTAGTTCCACCACAGGTGGGCTGTGTACATGGTGATCTAAACGCTTTAAATAAAGTTCCAGTTTCACAGGAAAAGGGCATACAGCAAATTTCTGGACGAGCATACTGGCCTGGGCATATTGCAGGCAACAATGTCTATACATGTGAACTGAACGTTAAATGTACAGATTTTTAAAATAATCAAAGCAAAATTTGGTGTGATTACAAAATATATAATATAAAACAGTTAGCTGATGAGGGGTCTTCTATAGCTAATACCCATTTTTAGAAGTTAGGGCTGCTATAAAACGCAGATTTCATTCACTGTTGCTAATATGTGCTCATTTTTATCAGAAAAAAATAACTAAAATGCAGCAAATCTGCAGCAAATTGGTGTGTATCAGTTGCTGCTGCAGCTCTGAAGGTGAAAAAATGAAGTTGAAGCCCATTTTTGTTATTTAAAAAGGAAAACATTGATGAATCAGTCAGCTGATTATTGTTTAGCTGACTGCTAAAACTTAGTCTCTTTCTGGAGTATTTATCTTATCCGATGAAACCATCTAGTGGCTGGCAAGTATATCACACAAGCAATCACTCGCTCCGTTTTTTTTAAGATGGCGACTTCACGTTTCGTGTTTATTAAAAAATAACACAAGCCTGAAGGAAATTGCCAGGTTGTGAAGACGCTAATGCTACCAGTTAGCTTCTACTAGCCGAGACATGCTCTGCTCTCTCCTGGACGCTAAATCAACAACAGACATCCCTCTAGCACAGTGGTTCCCAACCTAGGGGTCCCGACGCCCACAAGGGGGCGCCAAAGCCTCTCAGTGGGTCAATCAATCAATCAATCAATCAAAGCTTTATTTATAAAGCGCCTTCCGCAACCCTGTCAGGAAGCCCAAAGCGCTGAACATTGTACAGTTGTATGTAAATATATTGAATAAATCAACAATAAAAGAAATTCAAATTACAAAAAACAAATTACAAAATACAAAATGGAAATTACAAGATAGATGAAACATTCTGGTAAAGGACAAATGTGTGAAACACATTTGGATTGAGTGGATGGATTGAGTGTACCAATGAAAACTGTGGAATGGATTCAACATAAAAGAGGGCCAAAATCAAACATGTTCTGGAAAAGCCAAGCGGAGGAGGTGTGTTTTTAGGTGATTCTCAAAGACTGGCAGAGAAGGGGAAAGCCTAACTGACGGGTCGCCAGGACCTTTCCACTTTAAGGGATTAAAACTTCATTTATTACTTGTTTATAGCCTATATTAATGTCGATGTTTATAGCCTACATTTTGCTCACTTTTTTTTTCATGAGTGAAAAGTTTACTGATATTAAGACACTCCTCCTTGAACCGTCACCTTATCGTGGTGGAGGAGTTTGAGTGCCCTAATGATCCTAGGAGCTATGTTGTCTGGGGCACTTAGTGCCCCTGGTAGGGTCTCCCATGACAAATTGGTCTTAGGTGAAGGGTGAGACAAAGAACGGTTCGAAGGATCTTTCATGGCGGTTAAAACGAAGAGTCGGAGTACCCGGCCCGGAGGGTTACCGGGGTCCCACCCTGGAGCCAGGCCTGGGGTTGGGGCCCGTGAGCGAGCGCCTGGTGGCCGGGCTTTCGCCCATGGGGCCCGGCCGGGCCCAGCCCGAACCGGATACATGGGCTCGTCCAACTGTGGACCCACCACCCGCAGGAGGAACATGAAGGGTCCGGTGCAATGCGAATCGGGTGGCAGACCAAGGCGGGAGCCTTGGCGGTCCAATCCCCGGACAAGAAAACTAGTTTTTGGGACATGGAACGTCACCTCGCTGGCGGGGAAGGAGCCGGAGCTTGTGGCAGAGGTTGAGCGGTACCGGCTAGATATAGTCGGACTCACCTCGACACATTGCATTGGCTCTGGAACCCGAGACCTGGAGAGGGGTTGGACACACTACTTTGCTGGAGTTGCTCCGGGTGAGAGGCGGAGGGCTGGGGTTGGCTTTTTGTTAGCCCCGAGACTCTCTGCCTGTGTGTTGGGGTTTACCCCGGGGGACAAGAGGGCAGCTTCCTTGCGCCTTCGGGTCGGGGAACGGGTCCTGACTGTTGTTTGTGCTTATGGGCCAAATATCAGTTCAGAGTACCCACCCTTTTAGGAGTCCCTGGGACGAGTGCTAGATAGTGCTCCATCAGGGGACTCCATTGTCCTGCTGGGGGACTTCAATGCTCACGTGGGCAATGACAGCTTGACCTGGAGGGGTGTGATTGGGAGGAACGGCCCACCTAATCTGAACTCGAGCGGTGTTTTGTTATTGGACTTCTGTGCAAGCCGCAGTTTGGCCATAACGAACACCATGTTCGAACATAAGGATGCCCACCGGTACACTTGGTACCAGGGCAGCCTAGGTCACAGGTCGATGATAGATTTTGTAGTCGTATCATCTGACCTGCGGCCGTATGTTTTGGACACCCGAGTGAAGAGAGGAGCGGAGCAGTCAACTAATCACCACCTGGTGGTGAGTTGGATCAGATGGCAAGGGAACATGCCGCGTAGACCTGGCAGACCCAAACGCATAGTGAGGGTCTGCTGGGAACGCCTGGCAGAAGAACCTGTCAAGACGGTCTTCAACTCCCACCTCCGGCAGAGCTTTGACCACGTCCCGAGAGCAGTGGGGGACATTGAGTCCGAGTGGGCCTTGTTCAACTCTGCGATTGTCGAGGCGGCTGTTGCTAGCTGTGGTCGTAAGGTGGCCGGTGCCAGTCGTGGTGGCAACCCCCGTACCCGCTGGTGGACACCAGAGGTTCGGGGAGCCGTCAGGCTGAAGAAGGAGGCCTACAGGGCGTGGCTGGTCTGTGGGTCTCCGGAGGCAGCAGACAGGTACCGGATAGCCAAGCGGGGTGCAGCAGTGGCAGTTGCCGAGGCAAAATCTCGGGCGTGGGAGGAGTTTGGTGAGGCCATGGAGAAAGACTATCGATCGGCTCCAAAGAGGTTCTGGCAAACTGTCCGGCGCCTCAGGAGAGGAAGGCAGCAACTCGCTCACACTGTTTACAGTGGGGATGGGGAGCTGCTGACGTCAACTGAGGCTATAGTCGGACGGTGGAAGGAATACTTTGAGGAGCTCCTCAATCCCACCAATGCGCATTCCGAGGAGGAACCAGAGCTGGGAGGCCTGGGGATGGACTGTCCGATCTCGGGGGCAGAAGTTGCTGAGGTAGTCAAACAACTACACAGCGGCGGAGCCCCGGGGGCGGATGAGGTTCGTCCTGGGTATCTCAAGGCTATGGATGTTGTAGGGCTGTCATGGTTGACACGTCTCTACAACATTGCGTGGTCATCGGGGGCAGTTCCTAGGGAGTGGCAGACCGGGGTGGTGGTCCCCATCTTTAAGAAGGGTGACCTGAGGGTGTGTTCCAACTATAGGGGGATCACACTCCTCAGCCTCCCTGGAAAGGTCTACGCCAAGGTACTGGAGAGGAGGGTCCGATCGATAGTTGAATCTCAGATAGAGGAGGAGCAATGTGGTTTTCGTCCTGGCCGTGGAATTGTGGACCAGCTCTATACCCTTGCAAGGGTGATGGAGGGGGCATGGGAGTTTGCCCAACCAATCCACATGTGCTTTGTGGATTTGGAGAAGGCTTATGACCGTGTCCCCAGGGGCACCCTGTGGGGGACGCTCCAGGAGTATGGGGTGGGTGGCTTTCTGTTAAGGGCCATTCAGTCCCTTTACCAGAGGAGCGTGAGTTTGGTCCGCATAGCCGGTAGTAAGTCGGACCTGTTCCCAGTGAGGGTTGGACTCCGCCAGGGCTGCCCTTTGTCACCGGTTCTGTTCATCACTTTTATGGACAGAATTTCTAGACGCAGCCGTGGTGTGGAGTGTGTCGAGTTTGGTGGCAGGAGAATCTCGTCTCTGCTTTTTGCGGATGATGTGGTCCTCCTAGCTTCATCCAGCTCTGACCTTCAGCTCTTGCTGGGTAGGTTCGCGGCCGAATGTGAAGCGGCTGGGATGAGGATCAGCACCTCCAAATCTGAGACCATGGTTCTCGACCGGAAAAGGGTGGCTTGCCACCTCCGGGTCGGGGGAGAGGTCCTACCTCAAGTGGAGGAGTTTAAGTATCTCGGGGTCTTGTTCACGAGTGAGGGTAGGAGGGATCGGGAGATCGAGAGGCGGATTGGTTCGGCGTCTGCAGTGATGCGGACGCTGAGCCGATCTGTTGTGGGGAAGAGGGAGCTGAGCCAGAAAGCCAGGCTCTCGATTTACCGGTCGATCTACGTCCCAATCCTCACCTATGGTCATGAGCTTTGGGTAATGACCGAAAGAACGAGATCGCGGATACAAGAGGCCGAAATGAGTTTCCTCCGTAGGGTGGCCGGGCTCAGCCTTAGAGATAGGGTGAGGAGCTCGGACATTCGGGAGGGACTCGGAGTAGAACCGCTGCTCCTCCGGATCGAAAGGAGCCAGTTGAGGTGGTTTGGGCATCTGGTCAGGATGCCTCCTGGACGCCTCCCCGGGGAGGTGTTTCGGGCATGTCCTGCCGGCAGAAGGCCCCCGGGTCGACCCAGGACACGTTGGAGAGGTTACATCTCCAATCTGGTCCGGGAACGCCTTGGGGTCCTGCCGGAGGAGCTGGTGGACAAGGCCGGGGAGAGGACGGCCTGGAGCTCCCTAATTGGGATGCTGCCCCCGCGACCCGGACCCGGATAAGCGGAGGAAGACGAAGACGAAGACGAAGACGATATTAAGACAGGAAATAATTAGTACAGAAAAAGTAACACACTTTTCAGAACATTTTGCTCAGCTCACTGTTTTATTTTCAAGTGTCAAAAGTTCATTAAAGATAGGACTGGTGGATTAATCACAGCCTTTACAGTAAATAATCTAGTATAAACAGTAATACACACATTTAAGTACATTTTGCTCAGTGTATTTGTTATGTGTCAAACGTTTATTGAAAGGAATGATTGATTTATCAGTGTTTACAAGAAACAATGTGTTCAGAAAAGTAATACAAACTGTCAAGCACATTATGCTCTGTTTGGTTTTGTTAATGACTTTGTTCTGTACTGGAGCCTACTATTACTGTTATCTATTGAATCAGAGCATATTAAAATGTGCTTGAACAATTTTATCATTTCTTAGTACTGTTTGTACTGTATTTGTAAATTTTACAGGTAAAAAAGGGGTCCCTTGGGAAAAAGGTTGGGAACCACTGCTGTGGCAGATGATGAGCTGTGTGGACCTATCTGACCCGAGCGTTTAGCGTCTCTTTTCATGTGGCGGCTAATGCAGGAAACAGGGATGGAAGCCTAGTTTCTCATTAAACCTGTGTGTGAAACTCAAAGTGATCATATTTCAAAAAGAAAGAGTATTATTCCTTTCTCATTCAGTGAACATCAACCTCCCGATATCCATGTTTTTAATTATTTGTTGCTCATAATTAATAGTAATATATTTTTTGTAAGTATTAATGATTTTATTTATTTAAAATCAAGTCTCTCTGATTAAGTACAACAGATGAAAGACGAACAGAATAAAATACCGCAGGTGGAGGATGTTGTCATCAACATGGACTGTGACCAGGTGTATGATTCCAGTCACAGCTGCTTCCTGTTACTCACGCCGCCACTGATCTGGTTTTTCTGTCGAATTGTTAACTGCTGCAGTTTGTCTGGCCTCAGTCCCTGGTAAGGACTTTTCTAGATCAGCGGAGAACTGATCTCACTACTCATGGTTGCACTGCTTCCAAACATCAGTTATCATATTAATCCACTTTAACTGCAGGTCAGATGTAGCTTTTGGGTTCAAAATCCTTGTGTGCGCGACATGGAGACTGAATTCACTCACATGTCCTAATCCTACAGAAGTTAACTGCTTTTTATAATCTTATAATTGTATTAGTATGTTATTGTTTTCTCTGAGGTTACTGTCGCAACCACATGTCTGTGTTATAATGAGTTATTTTTGTGAATCCCAGCTTATGTCTGAGAAATGCATCTGAAAAAATTTTGTTTCAATTTGATGTCTTTTTATGGGGGATTAACAATCTTTTTTTATTCACTCAGCAAAGTTTTGCAACAAGAAGGCAAAAGAAAAAAGTTAACTGCACATATAAACATTTCTATTTTTTTAAATACTTTTTGATGAAGAAGAAAAATATTTGCGATCATCAATGTGCTGCAGGTGCTGAATGTAAGCAGCGCAGCTGTAGCATAAACTGCATGAAGCTATTCATGCAAAGGCTCTTCTAATGGCAAATGAAATCACATCCTCTATAGGGCCGGGGTGATCTTGTGCACAGGTTACCTGCTGAATAAGATGTTTTGAATAAATGACATTTAGTAATTACGCTCATTTTGACTCATCTATATTGAGAATCTCACTGCAGCTTCATTGGACAGCGGCAGGCCCGCGACACCATTCTCATCAATGGCGATCTGTATTACCATATCCATTTTCATCACTGAGTCTCAGGTCACTTTAATGTCTCGTTTTTTTACATTTGTCATAAAACTTTGAGACAATGTTTAAAGACCTATGGAAACACAAATTGTGTTGTTTTATATTAAAAATGCATTGCTAAAAAAAGAAAAAGGTCTAGGGAACATTACAAGAAAGTGACAAACACTCCTCACCCTGCTACAAATATCTCCAGGTCTCCGTCTCCATCTACATCAGTGACGGCCATGCCGTAGTTGAGCTGCGTGGGGTTGTTATCGTAGTCTGGAGGCAGGACGGACTTAGTTATAGCCGAGAACATAGGCTCTGATCTCTGAGCCAGAGAGTGGGCAGAAAGGAAGAGAAGGAGGCACAACAACATCCTCACCTGAGGAGCAAAACACATCATTTATGAAAATATTTACATTATGTCTCAAATTTACTCTTCAGAGAATTCATATTGCTTTCTGTAAAAACATAAATATAAAAGGACTTTTTCTGTCATTTAAACTGAATATATCAATGAATAAAAAAGGCAAACATCCTCTAACTGTAGAGCATCGTCAGAGTGTTCCACCATACGTAAAGCACTGAATCAGCAGCGTTCTGCAGGGGTAGATCTGAACAACCCCTCAAACGTAGAACAGCCTGAGGGATTACAGGACAGGAAATCCATACATGGATGCAGAGCATTTGGGTGAACAAAGAGGAAACCAATATGACCTGATACAACAAGCTCAAGGTGCTGCCGAGTCAGAAATCAGAGAGGAGCGCTGCTTTTAGCAGGATTAAAGATGAAACGTGTAAGAAATTAAGTTCTGCACGAAATCAGACGTTAGGGGGTTCAGCTGGAAATACAAAATAAAAGCGGTAGAACGAAAGGTCACCTTCTGGATGCCAGAATAAAACTTCACACACACATACACTAAATGGTGTTTACAAGCTGACAAGTTGATTTTCTCTGCTGGTGGATTTATGAACACAGCCTTAGTCATTCCATCTGTGGCGCCGCTGAGACATTCCCATCTCTGCATGCAGACTGCTGCATATTCCTCCTTTCAGCTCTGAGTGTCCAGGTGATGTATGATTCCTTAATGTCTCCTTAAACAATTCAATTTAAGATAAAACTACTGTGTTGTTTTGGAGTCCTCTCCAACGTGCATCCACTGTGAGGCAAAGCACCTCCTCTGACATATGCAGAAAGACGTCTGGGTCTGGTGCTGGCGTTGGAGCTAGGCAGCATGGAGATAAGCTGACAGAAACGTAGCGCCTGGCTGTTAGCAAAAAGGGGTTAATTAACAGCCGGGTCCCCCCATTAGAGCAGGATGTGATGACAAATGGGCCGCACACTACAGAAAGCAGTTTACAGACTTGATACTGTGTTTTAGATAAAAGCGGAGAGCTATAAATTATAAAAAGACAACTTTTAAAGCTGTGGTGGGAGTAGTAACTTAAGTAGTAAAAGCACAGATAAAGGAGTAAAAAAAAGTATTTAACCCTCACACTGTCTTTATGGGAAACCCCACGTGGAAAGTTGACCATAGAGCAGGGTTGATGGTTAATCCCTTGGGTCCATGTGGCGGGGTGAGGGGGTGCTCACTCCTCGCCCCTGCCACATGGACCCAAGGGATTAACCATCAGCCCTGCTCTATGGTCAACTTGCCTCGCGGGGTCACACCCATTAGGACAGTGGGAGGGTTAAGAAAAAGTTGAATTATCCAACAACATTTTGACTGTTCTACTGCACTTGTATAAGTAGGGGGGGCAAATTAAAGTACCGGTACTATTACTATTTGGAACTGTAGTGCAGAGAGGACAAAGGAGTTTGTTGTTGGTCTCCATTGGACCATGAGTCGGACAAAACATAAAAAAAAGTTTGTTTTTTTTACTTTTACTTTTAAGAAAGTGTAATGGAGAGGAGATACAATGTACATATTACCATAAGTAAGTAAGTAAAAATTAGGCGTGAAGAAAATTCCTAAAAGGTCAACTTTACCAAAAGTTTTAAGACATTTGCAGTGGTCTCTAGTAGGAATGAAGTCCTGTAAGTCAATCTCTGGGGAAAAAGTTCTGTAATGTCAGCTGGAGGACAGAGAAGCTGCAGACAACAGAATTTGGAGTCTTATTTCCTGATATTTGGACATTTCACCTCTGATTGGCTGACAGCAAAGCAACTCTAGCTCCGTTTGCTCTGCAACGTTGATGTTTTATCTCCAATAATAACACAAGCCTAAAGGAGTTCTGCTGTGTGGTGGAGTTGATAATGCTAACGGTTAGCTTCTACTAGTCGAGATGTTCTTTGCTGTTTCCTGGACACTAAACCACCAACAGCCTTCCTCGTCGCGATGGCTGATGGGTGAGTCCATTCATGTTAAGTGACAGTGTGATGTAGATCTGTCAGGCTTTTCTGAACCGAGCGTTAATCTGTCAAAAGGCAATGCAGGAAACAGGGGTAGAAGACTATTTTCATCTTCAGCCTGCATGTTAAACTCAAGAGTTTACTGATCTTTTTCAAAAATTATAAAAATGGTTTCTTGGTGAAGAAAAAACAGGAAGTGATGGATAAAGTTGCAAGAAGGAAGAACTATGGATAAATGATGCAACTTCTTTAAAGTGTCAGCGATAGGAGGCAGTACATACCTAACTCAAGCAAACAAGCTGTATTTTTATGTTCGAGTAGGATTTTACCAATGGATGGCCATTAGGGTCAAAAACCCTGGAAGTGCAGTTTTGGAACGAGTACTTCGTCATATCGTTCAACTTCTAGCAAAATAACAATCACATCAGACTCCCTTTCATCGCCGAGAATGAGCGATGAAATAAACGTTTATGAATGGCAAACGTTTTGTAACCACTTTTTACAATCCATAAATGCATTTTGTCCTCACAGGCTCACATAGAAGGAAACATGGCACCTAATATGGCGCCTCCCAGAGACTTAGACCTGCTCCCACAAATTTTAGACCCGATTTTTATGATTATATGTTACGAACACCTGAGCATCATTTAATTAATTTCCAACAAATTTTCGATAGATATTTTCAGAGATTAATGGAAAAGAACTACACATTGTCATATTAAAACAAGTTGAACTTCTGTGTCCAAACACACACACACACACACACACACACACACGGTTCAAAATGGGAGAAGATCTATTCCTGTGGAAAGTTTTAAGTTGAAGGACCCAAAATAAAAATTCAAAATGTCTAATTTCCTCTAATACAGACATAAAACGTGGGGGAAAGAAAAGACAGGTGAGTCTGTGAAAACCACTGGGGACTTCTGGCTTTGATGAAGTCATTAGTGTTACATTATCCAGTCAAGGACATACAGTCACTTCGCTGCAGTGAAGACCACAGCTTCCAGCTCAAGTCAAGTAGTAATGTGCATGCATGGATTCCCATTTCACGCACTCGTTTGGGGTTTATGATTCAACATCTGCAAGGTCGACAACAATCATGAGACGCAACGCATAAAGCCATTTGTACTAAAGTAGTCAAAGAGCGTATAATAGCCTGGTAAAAATAAAAAAAGAGAAAGAGAAAAGAAATGTTGTTTGAAGCGGTGAAATGCTTTCGATTTGGTTATTTATGTGAGCAGTAAGAGGCCATTACCACAGCATGCAACATCAGCATGTGCTTTCTGGAGCGTTCCTGCCCAGCTCCAATCCTGATAACACTGCGACAAAGGGCCAACAGCATCTTCACTTTAACACACACACACACGCATACACACACACACACACACACACACACACACACACACACACACACACACACACACACACACACACACACACACAGGACAACTTTAATGCGAGATAAGTGCACAGAGCACATGCTGTCTCCTATTTATCACAAACACTAGAATTATGATCAAACTAAAAATTCTCCCTGATTCATTAAAGTGAAAAAGACACAAAAACTCTAACAAGCAAAATCTTGAGTGTTCACAACAACAAATGAAACATTTCTTTCTGTCTGCAAAACTTTTGAAGCCTTTAAACTAAATGTTTGCAGAGTTACACAATCATAAATCTATATTTATAATTACTGCACACAAATATAAAGTCAAAATGCAATTTTTTTTTATTAAGAAAGTAAGAAATAACCATAAGAAAGTAAAGTGAAAGCAAATACTGCAGCCATTACTCTGGGCTCATCTTTACGCTCCTCGTCAGCGTTTTAGACATGATCCACGTTAATGGAGCACAACTCAGTCCGTAGTAATTAAAGGTTAACGACTACAACAGTTTCACTTCACGCGACTTGTTCTGGAATTTATTAGCTGAGAAAATAATGAAGTTGCGTTGAAATTAAGAAGGAGAAATCAACTTTCTCTGCAGCGGACCTCGGCGGAGCGTCACAAGGAGGAAGACGGACAGCAGCATCCGAACTCGGGCAGGTACTCACAGGTTCGGAGAGGTTCGGAAAGTCCCAACAAATCCTGCAGCGATTGACAGCGAAAGGTGAGCGAGGAGGGGGGTTAGAAACACACATACACACCTACACACACGCGGAAAGTCGGCTAATTGTGCTGTGGGTGCCGACGTTATCTCAAGGGATTACCCCCCTCAATTATTCCCTTTGAACAACTTCCCAAAAATGTGCTTTCTGAAATCGCTGCTGTGAGATTTCAGCCAATTACCGCGCAGCTTTCTGAATATCTAAGCAGCCGGCCAATCACGGAGCAGGGAATCTGTGTGTAGGCGTGTCCTCGGGTGATCGTCTGAGTGAAGCGGGATGAAGATGCTGGGCTCAACTTGTCACTTTAGGATGCTTTAAATCCGTCTCAATAAAATAAAAACACAAATAAAAGACATAAATGTTCGTGGTTCTGATTTATTGTTTCAAACTAATTATTTTTAATACTTAAAACATGAAAAAAACGAATCTATCCAAATGTTTTGATCTAGACCTTAGGATAAATCAAATCCTCACTATTACTCCAGAGCAAAACTCATTTTCTAGATAATGTCTGCACCCAATAGCATAAAAATATCAAATATCTTGTGTTCTTTATATATCATCAGTGTTACTTGAGAAGCTTCTGCCCTCAGTTTTATTGAATTCTAGCCTCAAACGCTGCAGGCTGTAAGCAAAGCATGGCAATACTTAAACAGCGTCATTTAGAAATGACAAAATATTGATTCTTCATAAGTGCACACATGCAAAATACTCAATCTCACCTAAAAATCTGATTCTAATAGTGGAATTGACAGTTTTTTCTGTTTGCTGTGGCAGTCTAACTGAAGCGAAGGAAAGCAATTAGTTACAAGCAAACTGACAAATTTGCAGGTTTTTGTTGTCTTGAGGGAATCAGATGGTGAGAAATGAATTTAAAAAACAGCAAATATGTAAAAAGAAGAAAAAAAAGCAGCTCATTGTCTCAGAATAATGATCAAAAAGTTCCTCATAAGTAGTGTGTGTGTGTGTGTGGGGGGGGGGGGGGGGGGGTCAGGTTTACAGCTGTCAGTTGTATAATTCCTATGTCATGCTTCACTGAGTCCACTCACCTGGAGTCCCCCAATAAAATCAGTTGTGAGTGTGTGTGTGTGTGTGTGTGTGTGTGTGTGTGTGTGTGTGTGTGTGTGTGTGTGTGTGTGTGTGTGTGTGTGTGTGTGTGCATGCGTGCATGCGTGCCTTGTGTGTGTGTGTGTGTGTGTATGTGTGTGTGTGTGTGTGTGTGTGTGTGTGTGTGTGTGTGTGTGTGTGTGTGTGTGTGTGTGTGTGTGTGCGTGCATGCGTGCCTTGTGTGTGTGTGTGTGTATGTGTGTGTGTGTGTGTGTTTGTATGACTATACTTGTGAGGACGTACCCTTGACAAACGACCTGTACTGTGAGGACATTTTCCTTTGTGAGGACATTTTGCCATGTCCTCACAAAATTTTGCCTTAAATCTTCTTTAATTACACTCAAACGTGTTCTGGCAAAGTTTCAGAAAAATACCTCAGAAAAATAGTAATTACTGACATGTGTGTTTTGGAATCAACTCTTGAGCTCACCTAGTGGACACACACTAGTACTGCAGCTCTGGACTTGAATTTTTTGCTCCAATTTTCTGATTGGCTGAGGCCATGGATTTTTCTGATTGGCTTTTGTAGTTATGTGACCTGCTTGACAAGTAAGTGAAATGAAATGAAACTTAAAAACTACATGGATTTATAAGTTTAGACAAAATATTTTAAATTAATTCTCAGTTAACATTTAATTCTAATGACTAATTCTGCTCCTTATATTCATATAAAATAAAAATAATTACAATAATAATAAATTCAAATTCATTGTTAAATCATATTAAATAATACACTATAGCCAATATAGGCTGTAAACTCTGGCCCTTCTGAATGAGACAGCAACTTGAAACTTGAATATGTTGGAGCTGTCAGCTATGTAAAGATATAGTTAAAGTTTCAATTCTCTAGGTTGAAGAGAACCATGTTTTTCAGCCCAAATCATTCCTTTTTTCTGCATATATGACCCTTTTGAATGAGACAGCAACTTGACACTTGAATATTTTGGAGTTGCCAGCTATGTAAAGACACAATAAAAGGTTCAAGTCTCTAGGTTGAAGAGAACATTGTTTTTCAGACCAAAACCTTCCTTTTTTCTGCATGTACCAAAACGTTGTGACCTCTGACCCAGAACACCACCAGAACGATGCAATGGCTACCAATCCGCCTGGGCTAGCTCGGGGTGCCGGTGGCATGCCGAATCGGTGTTTGTTTGGTGAAAATCGGTTGAAAAATAACACATTTGCGAGCACATGGCAAAAATGGCGGGGAAACTGCCCTCTGGGCCCAAACAAACCTTTACAACAATGCGACCGGCACAAATTCAAAACCTGTGGGTCGCGCCAGCATCGGGATGCACCAAAACAACTTTTGTGTGCATCAAACCAACGTGGACCGAACGGCGGCCAAAAAGGGGCACAAATATAGGTCAGGCTTCGTTTGGGGCCTAGGGTTTGGCCCAAACGTCCAGTTGCTTTTAAATTATTAAAAATAGTTATATTCTACATAGGGACACGAAATTCACATATGTTGTAAACCCTAACCCTAACCAAAAATCCCCACTTTCAATGGGAAATTGTGATTTTCTCCAAACTCTCTCTCAGGACAGCTGGGCCTCATGGCTTAGGCTGCTGCCTCAACTCAGGATAAGCGGATGAAAATGGATGAATGGTTGGATGAAATTATTGTTTTAGTAATAGTGTTCTGACCCTCCCTTTAAGACGATAGTGTTTGCGTTCTGGTATGTCTCTCCTAGTCTAAAAAGCCCCCCCAAGTCCCGTACTTCAAAAAGCTCCTATACTTTAACATTGCCTTTTCCACTAATTTTAAGGTCACGGTGTGGGTCACAGGAGTGATGTAACTGGTCAGAAATCAGGTCACTTCATTGTCATAACCCTCCCTTTAAGGCGTTAGTGTCTGCATTCTGATATGTCATTCCTAGTCTAAAGAGCCCCCTCAAATGTACTCTAAAAAGCTCCTATACTTTAACATTGCCTTTTCCACTAATTTTGAGGTCACGTGTGGATCACAGGAGGGATGTAAAGGGTCTTAAATCAGGTCACTTCATCATCATAACCCTCCCTTCGAGGTGGTCATGTCTAGCATTGTCACGGTGTGAAAATTTAACCTCACGGTTATTGTGACCAAAATTATCACGGTTTTCGGTATTATCGCGGTATTTTTTTAAACGTGTTACATTTTCAGACAACTACATAAACCCTGTATGTCAGGAAAATATTGTCCTCAGTTTGTGTCTAAATTTTGCCTAAAATTTGTTATTTTGTAATTATGTTGTTTATTTGTTTACATTTTTCCCCTTTAGTATTTAAAATACATTATTTGCCCACAACTTATTATTTTTTGTCTGTTTGATGTCATCAATTTAAAAATATTAGATCAGATGATACTCGGTACTCAAGTAGCCTTCTAATCAGATACTTTTTTTTACCCTTTCTTGAGTAATAAACCCTATATCAGGAAAAAATTGTCCTCGGTTTGTGTCCTTTCGGTGAGCTTTGCAGATTTGGGAAAATGTCATCAGGCAGTAATCATTGTTAAATTCATAATTATTCTCGCAGAGAGACCAACTCTTAACTGTCCCTGGGAGCCCCGTAATGCATAGCGTCATTTCAAAATGGGGATCTCCGTGACACGGTTTACATGCAGGTAGCGGTGCTGCAGCTGCTTTATATAGTCATTCATGCGCAAAAAATTCCCCCATCCCCGTACTTCAAAAAGATCCCATACTTTAACATTGCCTTTTCCACTAATTTTGAGGTCACGGTGTGGGTCACAGGAGGGATGTAAAGGGTCTTAAATCAGGTCACTTCATCATCATATACCCTCCCTTCGAGGTGGTCATGTCTAGCATTGTCACGGTGTGAAAATTTAACCTCACGGTTATTGTGACCAAAATTATCATGGTTTTCGGTATTATCATGGTATTTTTTTTAAACGTGTTACATTTTCAGACAACTACATAAACCCTGTATATCAGGAAAAAATTGTCCTCGGTTTTTGTCCTTCCGGTGAGCTTTGCAAATTTGGGAAAATGTCATCAGGCAGTAATCATTGTTAAATTCATAATTATTCTCGGAGAGAGACCAACTCTTAACTGTCCCTGGGAGCCCCGTAATGCATAGCGTCATTTCAATATGGAGGTGTCTGCGACACGGTTTACATGCAGGTAGCGGTGCTGCAGCTGCTTTATATAGTCATTCATGCACAAAAAATTCCACCATCCCCGTACTTCAAAAAGATCCCATACTTTAACATGGCCTTTTCCACTAATTTTGAGGTCACGGTGTGGGTCACAGGAAGGATGTAAAGGGTCTTAAATCAGGTCACTTCATCATCATAACCCTCCCTTCGAGGTGGTCATGTCTAGCATTGTCACGGTGTGAAAATTTAACCTCACGGTTATTGTGACCAAAATTATCACTGTTTTCGGTATTATCGTGGTATTTTTTTTAAACGTGTTACATTTTCAGACAACTACATAAACCCTGTATATCAGGAAAATATTGTCCTCAGTTTGTGTCTAAATTTTGCCTAAAATTTGTTATTTTGTAATTATGTTGTTTATTTGTTTACATTTTTCCCCTTTAGTATTTAAAATACAATATTTGCCCATAACTTCTTATTTTTTGTCTGTTTGATGTCATCATTTTAAAAATATTAGATCAGATGATACTCGGTACTCAAGTAGCCTTCTAATCAGATACTTTTTTTTTACCCTTACTTGAGTAATAAACCCTATATCAGGAAAAAATTGTCCTCGGTTTGTGTCCTTCCGGTGAGCTTTGCAAATTTGGGAAATGTCATCAGGCAGTAATCATTGTTAAATTCATAATTATTCTCGGAGAGAGACCAACTCTTAACTGTCCCTGGGAGCCCCGTAATGCATAGCGTCATTTCAAAATGGGGATGTCCGCGACACGGTTTACATGCAGGTAGCGGTGCTGCAGCTGCTTTATATAGTCATTCATGCGCAAAAAATTCCCCCTTCCTCGTACTTCAAAAAGATCCCATACTTTAACATGGCCTTTTCCACTATTTTTGAGGTCACGGTGTGGGTCACAGGAGGGATGTAAAGGGTCTTAAATCAGGTCACTTCATCGTCATAACCCTCCCTTCGAGGCGGTCATGTCTTTATTCTGATATGTCATTCAAAAGGAAAAAAGCCCCCCCAAATGTTCTTCAAAAAGATCCCATACTTTAACA